GAGAGAGAGAGAGAGAGAGAGAGAGAGAGAGAGAGAGAGAGAGAGAGGGAGAGGGAGAGAGAGAGAGAGAGATATACAATGATGAACGCGAAATGGTAATTATGTGAAGTAAATTGATGTTCGTCATTGGTTCAGTAAAGCGAGGAAATGCAGAAAAGAAATCAGAGCAAGTATTTTGAGGTGCATTGTTCTGCGTGAGAACATTTAACGAAAAAAAAGTCGAGTATTTAAAACATACTTTGGAAATTGATGGTTCAGGTCATTGTGGTGTGTGTGTGTGAGAGAGAGTGAGAGAGAGCGATGTTTAACCGTAAAACGTTTAAATAGCTGCAAATGAATGGATGAATTGCAACCATGAGAATAGAGATGGATGAGATGTTGTACATTGTTTATGTCGATACCATTCAGTATATGATATCATTTTGAGATGCAGTTCGACCGTGGTATGCATCGACTCCAAATTTCCCCGCACACAATTTTGTTAGCTCCACAAACCGTTTCATGGTGCAATCCCTTGAGAATAGCACATGTGACGCACATACTTGTTAAGGACATATTGTATTTGTTTTTATTGGTGTTTTTTTCTGTATTTCCGTCATTTGTTCCAGTGCCAGTGCCATTGAAATAATGATTGTTTTCCTTTTTTTTCTATTTGCAGCACGGACGGCACAGAGTCTCCCATTCTGGCTGATCCAGAAGCAGAAGGACGCTCTGACAAGCCCAAAGTCAAATATGGAGAGTTAGTGATATTAGGGTATGTATTGAAAAATTGATTTGGATCTAACACGAATACGACGGATCTGTGCTTACATTTTCCATGCAACCTGCCGAAATTATTTAGATTGATTGCACTGATTAATTGCCACCAGTCTTGAATTGCACACAAAATCGATTATTCGTCCAAAACGATTGAAATGCAAAATCCTTCAGAAAAATGAAAATCAATTGCAGCAGCGGCGTTTTCAATGTGAGAAAAATAAAGTGTTTGACATTAAATGACGTTTTCCGTGTTCCATTCCCATTTTGATAAAATATTGAAGCTTTCACGTGCACACAACGCGCACATAAATAAAACACGAAAAAAAACCAACCAGAGACAAAGGCATTGTGTTCGATATCGGTATCGGGGCAAGTAATGCAAGTTATAAAGAGAGAGAGAGAAAAAAACTGGTCTGAAAATTATATGCAGAATTAAAATGCATGTGCAACAAGAAGGGTATATAAAATGCACTTCACGGAATGGCGTATGTGTGTGTGTGTGTGTGTTTGTGCACTGGCAAATGGGAAGCGAGAAGAAAACCTAAACGCGAATGGGAAAGAAAAAAACTCAGCAGCAATACACATGCAAACAGAAAGCATGTCGGCGGAAAGAGCAAATTGAAGGTATAAAAATAGAAAACAACAGCATTCACACGGTCACAAATTCGATGTGACGCCGGTACTGCGGGCTATATTCTTCGAATTTGTGAACAGGGAATGGTTGAGCTTGAGCTCTTTCGTTCTCTCACTCTTCCGCAACCAACAACAACAACAACAACAAAACAAACAATGCATAGAAAGAACAATTAGACAGCGGTGCAAAAACAACAATAACAGCAAAAATAATAAAAGAATGTAGAGCACACAATGAGCAGAGCAGCGAGCTGTGTATGAGATAAATGTAGCCGAGTGCGCCAAGTGGGACTTTGGTAAAAGTCAAAGTGATAAGCCAAATTTGTCTTTGATTCAATTCACTTGTCGACAACAAATATAACTGTTATTAGTGAAACGGAAAATGTGTGTCGAGTGTGCTGTACGTTAGCGCCAAGTATTTTTCGATTAGCATGCCCATGAACGACGGCGACGACGACGCCAGCGACGACTGAATAGAACGAACGAACGAATAATCCATGCAGTTGAAATGACCTGGGAACACACAAACCGAGAAAGACATTGAAATAATTTTCCTGGATGCAACATTTTCTATGTTGAAACTTGAAAGGCATGCAGCGAAAATATTTTTGCATTTCGGTTGCTCATCTCGACGAGGAAAATAAAATAAAATTGTAAAACCAAAACATTCACATACACGAACACAATGTGAATTCAATGGGCGCGCATGCCACGCTTCGGCAAATGCAATCAGATATTTGTCAAGCTGCTGAACAATAATAAAAACGCATGCACATTTTCAAGACTGACTAAGCGTTAGTGGAATGTTGTACAAATGTATGTGCAGCATGACTCGTTCGTTCGAACGGTCACCACTGAATGTGTTTCTTCCTTCTATTAAACATTCATGTTGCGTGACTTAATTTCATAAGCTTCCCAACTACAATTATTTTGCACGTAGTCACATTGTCGTTTTAATCAGCAGCTGAAAGTGACGAAATACTCGGCGCTTTCATTAAAATCATGCAGGCAAAACGTGTTTGAACAGCAACCGCCGCAACAACAACATCGAAAAAAACACACACACACACATTGAAACGAGGAACAAAAATGAAACTAAACTAAAAATTGAAGCAACTTGTATCGCCTGAAGCATTGCATGCGACTGACGAATCCTATTCAAATAATTAAATGTTAAACGGCAGGTTGAGAAAATGAACACCATGTCCATTTTGTAGCGATTTGATAAAGCAAGGTAGCGCGCGCGTGTCATTGCAACAGAAACATATATACCCCACCTTAATTGTGGTCAATCTAATGCGTCTATCAATTTCGCTTATAATTTCTTTTCCGTCTATTTCTCTCCCATTCTCCCAATTGCAGATATAATGGATTTCTGCCACAAGGAGACAAAGGCCGTCGACGTTCAAAATTTGTACTATACAAACGAGCTGAAGCGAATGGTGTGAGACGATCTAGGCACTATATAGTTCAATCACCTCAAACATCAAAGGCAATTTTGGATGCGAATCAACACTCGATATCGTACACATTGTCACGAAATCATGCGGTTATCGTGGAATACAAAGAAGATGCTGACACAGACATGTTCCAGGTAAATTATATATAGCAATATGGTATTCATGCACTCATTGATTTTCGGCTAGCAAACCTAGTGTTACATACCAGTGAGTTTGTTTCACTGGGAGAAACACTTCGAAATGACGCACCTGGGCCGAATGTACAAAGGGTGCGGAAAACATCAAATGAAAATCCATGCAACATCGAGCATCGGTCGTATACAAGCCGAATTTTCGCAAACACGGGTGGCACGATTCCAAATTGAAAACACAGTCGCCGCCGCCACAGTATCACAAATAATCATATTCATGTGGTATGTGATTTTGTCCGTGTACCTTGAATACACCCAAAGTTGATGCTGTGTGCTTGTGTACGCACAAAGGGTAGTGAATCATTGCCGCCTGCATTCTATTCATATTTTTGTACTTTTTTTTGTAGCAACTTTTTTTTTCAAAGTTTTTTATTGATTATTGTTGAGAGTGGAATAAAGAGAGATGGAGGGAGAAAAATCGACGAAATGGAGCGGTTCATTCGCACAACGTCAATGCCATGAGTGTATGAATTTGCAAATTAATCACGCGAGTTTTATGCTAATGACATTCGACATTTCTCTGGGGAGTCGATAAAATACTCATTACAAAACAGATGTTAAATCAGCTTATTTGCAATTCATATAATTGCATTTACCAATTCCCGAATCAAATTGCAAAAAGATATGCTCAATGTCAATTCGATGAGAAGAGAACCGAAATGTCATTTCATGTTTTTTTTTATTCTCTGTTTGTGATTTTGTTGATTAAATGAAAAAAAAAACTGTTTTCTACGGATTCAATTAGATTGGACGCTCGTCGGAAGCACCAATTGATTTCGTTGTCATGGATACATTGCCAGGTGATAAGAAGGATGCCCGAGTAATGCAGAGCACAATATCGCGGTTTGCATGCCGTATCTTAGTTGACCGAAGTGAACCAGCTAAAGCACGCATTTATGCAGCCGGATTCGATTCAAGTAGAAACATATTCTTAGGGGTGAGTTTAAATACGAACAACAACCATTGCCATACGTGTACGGTCTAACAATATTTGATGACATTTCACTGTTATTTATGTATTTGGTTTGTGTAGGAAAAAGCAACTAAATGGCAAGACAATGTGGAAATAGACGGTTTAACAACAAACGGGATATTGATAATGCATCCGAAAGGTCAATTTGTTGGCGGCAACACGGAAAATCCAGGAACAACACCATGGCGCGAGTGTTCGGTCGGTGGTGATGTGTTTGGTTTACGAGAATCAAGATCTGCACAACAAAAAGGCGAACCTGTATGCACATTCACAACACACATTTGGTTTCGAATGCCAAACTCAAGCCTTTTTTATCTTTTTTTTTTCTTCAATTCCGATAGATCTACGGCGAAACAAACATTTTACAGGACGGTACATTGATCGATTTATGCGGTGCAACATTGTTGTGGCGGTCATCTGAAGGATTAAAGAACTCACCGGTATGTTAGAAATTGGCTTACAACATTCGAATGTACCACATAATATTTTTACTTCTTGTAAATCAATTCACTCTCGTCTTTTTCTCGCTCCGAACAGATGAAACGTGATTTAGAGAAGCTTGTAGATAAAATTAATGAGGGCCGACCTCAATGTCCAGTTGGGTTGAATACGCTTGTGATACCACGAAAAGTAACATTAAGTGAACACATTAATCAGCCTTACGTTTATTTAAATTGTGGTCATGTTCAAGGTAACCGAAATTTTTATTTTGCGGTTTTATTTTCTCTTTTGCTTTTGCTTTTGCCTTTATTCCATCTCTATTTGAAATTTCAATGTTGAAATTCAATTGCAAATTGAAATTTTACTCTCAATGCCAAATAAAATTGTACGAAAATTGGTTTTTCGTTCGCTGTAGGAAATCACGATTGGGGTCAAGATAAATCGACCGGTGCAAGAAGATGTCCGATGTGCTTGGAACAAGGTGCCGTGGTGACATTGTGCATGGGTTGCGAACCAGCATTTTATGTGGACTTTGGTCCACCCACATATGCGTTTAATCCATGTGGTCACATGGCTACGGAAAAAACAGTCAAGTACGAATAGATTCTACGAATTGCGATTCAATTCAATGAACAAACAAAAGCATGACGCAAAAACCCATGTCTGATTAATCATAAAATCTCTTTTTCTCTGAAAATTCAGATATTGGGCAAACGTCGATATACCGCACGGAACAATGGGTTTTCAAGCAGTTTGTCCATTTTGTGCAACGCCATTGGACGGCAGTCCTGGATACATAAAGTTAATATTTCAAGATAATTTAGATTAAGAGGCTACTGAATTGTAATGGAATTATTGTTTTTTTTTGGAATCGATTTTTTTTTTCGTTCATATTCAAGTTTAGTTTGTACGTTCTTAGGTTATATCAATTATGATTGGTTTGTGCATCGTTTTTAAGTTTAACCATTTAGAAAAAAAGATGAAAACAGAAAGAAGAAACTACAACAAACTGATTCGGATGAACTGAACTGAGCCGATCGACACATATACACGAAATCCATGAACTTACGAAAGATAAATGTATCGAATTTAAGAAAATGATCACACAATCCATCCTTTTCTTTCGTTATTTCTGTCGTTCATTGGAAATTTCTGTTCTATTCCAAATAGCCGTATCCAAAGTACATTAGAACCGCTTGTATGTGTTTTTGGAATCGGACTGGTGATGCAATTACCCCTTTCAAAGAAGAATGCATTGACATTCGGCTAGAAAAAGGGCGCAAATCTAATGAACGAAAAGAAGAAAAAAACAAATCCAAAAAAGTATTTAAATAATGACATTTTTGTGTTACAAGTTTCGTTGCATTCATATGAATCTTTGTTAGTTGTGGATTTTCTTTATGCATTAAACAAAAAAATTATTATTATTATTATTATTATTATTATTACGTCGCATTTCTTATAAATGAGCATAAATGTGAATTAATTCGAAGTAAAATGAAGAAAGAAAGAACTAACATGAAACACACTCGAAAAGAAACAGAAAGAGAAGAAAAAAAAACACTTTTAAATGCAATAAGCCAGCGTTCGTGTTGAAAATGCTCTTGTTTAATTATTTACTTATTATATGTGTTTTTTTTCTTTTCATTTTCTTTTTGTTTCCGATGGGTTTTTATTTTATTCGTATAAAACACGACATCGTCATCTTCATGAATGTAAATAAATTTGCAGTGTAAAATTGGCTCAGTGTTCAACACATTGTCGAAGGACATGTTGACCGTTTTAGTGTGCATCAGAATTAATACCGAAAATACCACTATATTCAAATGAACTATGTACAGATTTTTCGTGTTAATTTTCTTCTCCCAAGTATCATTTACGTCTCTCACGTTCATATATGTTTGTGTGGACATCTGGAAAGAGTGAATATTTCATCATTATTTTTCTCTTTCAAACTTTCGACAATTTAAATCTTTCAACGAAAAAAAAAGATAATCTTAAATGAAAATACCAAAATAACAAACTGAAAATAATTGTTAGCGTTACTCTTACACTGAAAGTAAAATGTAAAATAAAATGTTTATTGCATTTATGCTTTGAAATTAGTGTAACAAAACAACAAGTACATATAGAATCTCTCCCTTGACACAAAGAAAAAAATGATGCAAAAATATAGTCGTTTCAAATTGAACATCACATTTTGTTGAAAGCTTTCGTTTCTGAAAAAAAAACACACTTTTGTCTTGAGAAAGTAAAAACAGAACTAACACAAGTGAGAATTTAACGAAGAAGAAAAAAAAACACGGAACACACTTGTACACCTTTAAATAATCAACTTAATTATACGGAGTAGCTAAGCAAATCGCAGGATAGAAGAAAGAAGCTCGTGAGCAAATGATGGTGTAAACGCAGAAAAAAACCAAACAACAATCGAATGAGTAACATTTCAATTAATGATTTGCAATAGAATGACGTAGCAATTATTCGAAATCACAACTATTTCTCTCTCTTTCAAGAAAAAATAATAAACAGACCGCAAAAAAAGCATATGATTTTCACTTGTTTGGCCACACTTCGGCTTACACAAATAGTTTACACACAGACACACACAACTTGACTAATTATTATTCTCACTGGTTGCAACATACATAACGACATCTCTGATATCCGCATCCAATGGACATATTTAAAAGAGAAGAAAACAAATTTAGTGAAATCGTTTATGATTTTATATGATTTAATAGATTTTCTCACGGTGCCTTTTCACATTGAAAATAACTATATCAAATTTAGATATTGTAAATTCATAAACGTAATTTTAAAACACTCAAACAAACAAAGAGTAAACGACGGAAGCGATGAATAAGTTTGTATGCAACAACAACAGCAAATTAAATGAAACATAAGAAAAAAAATTGAACGAAAAATGATGAAAGAAAAAGAAACGAGTGAACCAAATAAAAACAATAAATCGTGTCAAAAAATGGTTCACACGAATGGAAAATATTCCTTTTGAGACGGAAAATAAATGAAAAAAATGAGATCAAAATAAGAACAAAACAAAAAAATAACATAGCCATATTGAAAATTTGACGATAGATGATTGAATATTTTCGTCTCTTTCTGTTTCTAGTTTGATTTATTTGATTTATCTCAAGAGATTTATACATTTCATATCGATCAATACCGTTTCTCTGCTCATTTTTTTTTTTTTTGATTGATTTGACGGATTTGTGTTGATTGTGCAAACTGAGTCCATTTCTCTATCATCTTCATTGTGCGCTCACTAAAAATTTAACCAAACAAAAGCATATTATAAATTTTCTAACAAAAATCTTTGATAAAGCTGTCGCCGCCACCGCCGCTGCTGCGTTTTACAATGAAGCATAGAAAAAGTTTAATTGCATTTTTTGAAATCTACATTCAATGAAGCAGTAAACATTTGAACGGTACACATTTGGCGTTTGGATGACAAGAAAGCGCGACACACAGCCAAAATAGATCTCAGTGGAAACACTTTCATTTTCGATTTAAAAAAATATTCACGTTGCCTGTCTTGCGCTGTACTTGTTTGCTGCATTGAAAACAAACCATTGATATTGGCGTCAAGTGTTTAAGTATACCCTCCTCCTCCCTACCCTTTGACATATTTGGAGAGGCTTGTAAAAGTTGAAGATGATTTTAAAATAAAAATAAAAACTAATGTGTGGTCGATTTATGAACATTTAGCTGGATGATGAAAATCCAGCAATGACAGCTAACAAAGAAAAGAGGAAATAATGTAAAACCTGAGAAAAAAAAATCACCTATGAATACATAAGCGTAAAAATCGTAGTGTAGGAAAAAAGCAAAGAGTCACAATTTTCTGCCGTTCAGAAAAACGAATTATTTTCTTTTGTTTTGTGTTTGTTTGATAATTCAGGAACATTTATGTGTGTGTGAAAATTAACATTCAATGAGGTCAAACATTCAAATGACCCGCCGAATTCATCAAATTCAACGTAAGAAGATCGAATTAAAGAAAATAACAACTAATGAGAGAGAAAAAATAAGAAAATAAAAACAAGGATTTTCGTTTTGACAGTTTTAATTTTACGCGGGCGTAAGCTATTTAATAAAAAGAAGAAAATTACATTTTTAAGTTTTGTCCTAATTTTCGATTGTAATTTTTTTCTCCGTACAAAGAAAAAAATCCGAAGAATTAATTTAATTTTTATGTAAGGATTAGCCGGTCAACTACAAACAAAAAAATCGTTATGATTTATTTTCCTTCATTATTCTTTAACAACGTTTATTTTATACAATGATGAATATAAATTGAATAATAAGTAATTAAACAGAAAAAAAAATTGAAACAGCATTTTTATTTTTTTACATTGAAATTTATCATTTGAATTTTCAGCGAATTCATATGACTTGCTACGATGATTTCGTGATATAGAAACTCGAATCGCAATAAAAAAAATACAATACATGTTGTCATTATAAACATTTGAGAAAGAGCCATGTGAAATCATACACCAGTATCATGCGTCTCAGTACTTTCAGCTGTCTGAATCATCGCATTTATTTATCCTACTGGATGATGAAATCGATTCTTTTTTTTTTATTTCCTTTGCGTTTGGCTCTGAAAACGAATTTGCAAGTTGATTGTTCCAATTCGGCGAATCACATCAAATCAGTAAGTATAGGAAATTTTGAATTCGAGGACACCAGATCTAGATAATGATAAGACACACACCAAAAATAATAATCAAAGTGTCGAAAACCGATTGTGCTCTACATGTGTACAACGGGGCGTTGA